CCCCCCCATCATGCCTCCCCTCCCGGGGTGCTGGACACCAGCACAAGGAATGTTATTGATGAACGCGCCGCCGCGCGGTGGGGCAGCCGCCAAGCGGGACCAGCACCCGCGCCCTGGGCCGACAAGTCGGGCACCTGCAGGCGTGCCACGGACGCCCGTCCACGCTGGCGGCGCCCGGCCCCGGGGGGGGGGGGGGCCTGTGTTTTCTGCCCTCCGCGGCCCCCGGCCGTGCCCCCCCCCCTGCAGAGGGTCATTTTGCTGGGCGTTTTCCGCATCAAACCACCGGAGCCCCCACTTGTGTTCCCCCGCCGCCGCAGTTCGCCGAAGGACTGCGGCCCGTTGGAAAAGGGGCCCGCCTAAAATGGGGCCCCTCACGGCCGGGCCACACACACTTCCGCCCGGCTCTGGGCTGCATGCCCTCCGCGCCCCCGCCCCTTCTTCCCCATCGCCGCGTGTGAGTGCAAGTGTGCTTTTATTGTATATACACACGCGGGGGCCCCTGCCTGCGTCTTCTCGTTCCTTCCCTACCATCGAAGTGTGGGCGCGCGTCCCCCCCCCCCCCCTTTGGGCGTTCCACCTCTTCCCGTTTCGGGCCGGCTCTGGCCCCCTCGTCCGGCCCGGTGTGCACGCGGGGCAAATCGTCCCTCTGTCGTCATGGGGAGAGCGTGCGCAGATCACGTCCCAAGTCACATGCGATAGAACAAGACATCTCGGTTAACGGCGTGATGAAAGGGCGCTGTGGGGTAAGCACCGCCCGTGCACAACCACGAGCCCGACATTCCCCGCCAGGGGGCGGGGCCCCGGAGAGCGGGCCGCGATCATCCGGCCCGGGGGGGGGACCTGCGGGCTGAAAAAAAAGCGAGAAGAAACAAAAGAGGAGGCAGCGCACACTGGGACCGGGGCAGTCTCTGGCCCGAGGTCCGATGGGGGCGGGGGTGTCTGCCCGAGAGAGCGAGGGCCAGGCAGCCGGTGGGCCTGTGTGCCTCTTGACACGGAGGGAGGGGTCCCCTTGTGTCTGGCGGTTACCAAGTCTCCAAATGAGGATTCTGAAAAAAGAAAAAAAGAAAAAGCAAACACCCTGTTGCACGTCGAGCAACGCCGGCACCCGGGGATGATGTGGCCCGAGTGCGATTCCTCCTGTGGCCCAGGCCTCCCGGCCGACGAGGCGCTCTCCCCTTGCTGGGCCCTTGTCGGGCCTGCTGGCCAGGGGTGCGCCATGGCGGTCCAAGAGCAGCCGCAGGCACCCACGGGCCCTCCGCTTTCGGGGTGGGCGGGTCCGGGGAACGCGAGTCTCGGACCGAAAAGGGGGCGCCCTGTGGCCCCTGGCCATGTTAAGGCAGGTCGAATGGGATCGGCGTCTCCTGCCGGCCGTCGGGCTGGCCCTCGGTGGCATGGGCGCCGAGAGCGGTGCGGAGGACCGAAAGTGCCGGGGCCGCCGCCGATCGCCTGCGCGGGCCTGCTATTCCTGTGCTCCTCTCTGGCTCGGTTCTTGCCTTTTCCGTGGTACCCCGGCGAGGCACCCGGGTGCTGGTGGTGCGGGAGCAGGGCGGGACGCAATATGCCCAGCCTTGGCACTGATCGACGGGAGCACGTGCGCCTACCTCGGCGAGTGTGTCACCTCCTCTCGCACACCATGGGCCGCACCTGGCCCGGAGGTGGGATTGTTGATGGGCCGGGCATGTATGTATATATATATATATATATATATGTGTGTGTGTGCGAGGGGAAGGGGTGGAGTTAATGTGCCCTTCTCTTGGGGCCCAAGGTGCCGGCACACGCCTCTATATTTATTTTATCGGCTCATGTGTGGGTGTGTTTCTTTATGTCCACACAACAATGCATGCATACATGCATGTATGAATGTGGATGTATCCGTTTGTGTGTGTGTGCCCTTGAATGTGCGGATGTATGCGCGATCGGAGGATCGCCCCGGCGAAAGGCTGCTCGCCCCCACACAGCCGCGAACGGTATGAGCCCAGGGGCAGGGGCGATGCCAGGCACCGGTTGCGGCACCGGTACGTGGACTCCTTGCCAGGAGCGTGGCCGAGGCCCCCGGGCAGAGGCGCGAGGGCGGGGGCGGCATCCGGGCATTTGGGGCCCCCGCTCCTCCGGGCCTTCGAGCAGTCTGGGCACGCACACCGGGCGTCTTGCGTGTCAGGCGGCTCGAAGAACGAGCTATTCAAAGAGGCATATGGGACACGCGAGGTGTCGCGCGGCACCTCCTCCTTTGCCTTCCCCCCCTCAACCGGTTCTTTCGCTCGCACTTCCTGCAGTCCTCGGCGTCCGGGATCGGTGTGAACCCTGACAGCACGCTCTTTCGGCACGTCCCCCGAGCCACAGCGCATGGCCTGCGCATTGGGCTTCCGAGCCATTCGCCTCGCCCCCGCACCGACACACGCCCCGGCTCGGTGGCCCTCTCCGCTGGCAACGTACGTGGAGCTACACGACGTCCGTGGCTCGTGGCCCGGCCTTTCGGTCTTTCTTCTTCGGCCCCTGTGACACATGGCACGCGGCCTTCACGGACGCGCCTCTCCCCCCGGCCGGATAGGGGCCGCTTTGCGCCGGGGCCAGATGGGCGCCTGCGGCAGGACGCCAGCCGGGCCGGCCGGCCGGGCAGGCGCCGCGCGCTTGGTCCTTCTCCTGCTGACGCTGCTGGGCGTGGGCTTGCGGTCGGAGGTCCGGGCGGTGCCCCTTCGGCGCGTCGATGCCGGCGAGTCGCAATGTCACCTTCGGTGCCGGGGCTCGCCGGCGGTCGACTACGCGGCCACCCTGGCCAGCGAGGCGCAGATGATGTTCTGGTCGCCGCTGCCGGCCGTCGCGCCGTTTGTCGGCAATGCCAGCAGCCTGGCCTCCTGGCGGCGGCCGGCCTTCGCGGACCTCGGGGCCATGCTGCTTCGGCAGCAGGACCGGCTGTTCTCGGCGGAAAGCCGCCCCGCTGGCAATGGGACCAGCGAGCCGGAGCTGCAGCCGCTCGAGGGGGGCATCCCGCGGCGTTTGATCGAGTGCCCGGTGACCATGCTGCCGCCGGAGGAGGCCCTGGCCGTGGGTCGCATCACGCACCCGACCACCGGGCAGGCCATCTTCCTGGTGCTCGGCTCGCAGGCGCTGACGGTGCTGCATGCGGCGGCCGAAATTGACGGGCCCACGGACATCGTGGCCTTCGGGCTGGACGCCGGCTGGCTGCGGCCGCGCCTGGCCGGCTACGGCATGTCGCCCGACAGGCAGCACCTCCGCGTGTGGCTCCTGGTGGAGGCCGCCACCGGGGCCAGCCAGCGCGCGCGCCTGGACATCCGCCTGGACACCTTTGATCTGGCCAGCGCGCCGGAGGTGGCACTCCTGTCGCCGGCCGGCGGGCCTGGCATCGTCACCTGGCGACCGATGCCGGAGGGCTTCCCGCTGGTCCTGCTGGCTGATGGGCGTCTGGCCACGGGGCATCCGCAGCCGGCCGAGGTGGCATTGCCGTGTGGCCGCCCGGCATCGATGGCTCTGAGCATGGCATGGCATTCGCGCACTCCGCCGGCCGGGGGCCCGGCCGGCCCCCTCGAGGGGGCCCTCTCGGCTCCGGTGACTTTGGCCATGTCCCTGGCCGCCGAGCAGGGGGGGCACATCCTGCTCGCCGGCGGCCTGGACCAGGGCCTTTGTCCCGGCGATTCACGCTCCATCCCCCTGCCGGCCGGGGTACGCCCCGGCGGCCGGGTGCTCCTGGCACCGGTGCATTCGGCGGCCGATGGGCTGCAGGCCTTCCACTACATTGAGCCGGCGCCGGCTCAGCCGGCCGGGCGTGTGATGGCCCGCGGCGAGCCCGGGCCCGGGTCGGGCTCGACTTCGGCACCGTCGCCCTCCGGCCCGGGATCCCACTCGACCGACGGCCCCGAGGCCGGGTCCGGCTCGAGTGGGACCTCCTCCCTGCCGGGTGGTGGCCCGACGGCCGAGCCGGGAACGGCCGATCCCTCGGCCTCGGCGGCCTCCTCTTCGGCGGCCTCCTCCCGGGACGCGGACGCCTCATCGGGCCCGGGTTCCTCGACCGAGCCGACGGCCGAGCCGCCCGGGCCGCCCCCCACGCGGTCGGGCACCAAGCGCCGGGTCTTCGCCGTGTCGCTGGACTCCGCCCAGCGGGTGGCCCGCTTCACGGAGCTCCACATGGTCGAGTGGGACCGCCAGCCGATGGCCAATGACCGGGCCTTCGAGCCGGACCGGCTGGATGTCCTCTTCCACGCGGGCACCGGGCAGTGGCTCTTGTCCGAGGGGCGCCTGCTGCTGCCGCTTTCCGGGCTGGAGGGCGATCGCACGGTCCTCCTGAGCCCGACCACCGGGCGGCTGTCCTGTCGCCGGGGCCTGCGCATGAACCCCTTCTTTCGCTCGGATCGGCTGTGCTACGGCTGTGCCGAAGGCAATGCCCACATTGCGGGCGATGGTGCGTCCTTCGCCGGTGTGCCTGTGCCCTGGACCGGGGGCCGGCCGCTGCCAGGTCACGGGCCGTGGCCTGCCCTTTGCCGGGGCACATGCGCATCGACGCATGCGCGCGCAATCCGCCTCACCCCGCTGTGCCCGATCGGCGCTCGGCCTGCCTCGGGCACATGACTGACATTCGGCAAACTGGCCTCCCCCCCCCCCCCCAGCCTCATCATGCGGGTATGTCTGCCCGGTGGGCTGTGCCGCGTGCAACCACACCGGCGACTGCATTGCCTGCGCCCCGTCGCACTTCCAAAGCAGCCAGGGCCTGTGCGAGCCGGTGAGGGACCACCTGCTGGAGACCGGCGGCCCGGACTCCCCGGCCCTGGCCCTTGTCCGGGATGGCCACAGCGTCGCCCTTGCCCGGCCCTTCCCCGGGGGCATCATGTCCCGGAACATGTCGCTGATGGCTCCGGTGCCACGGCGAAGTGCCACCGGCGGCGGGGGCAATGCGGGCGCCCCGGCCCCCGGCGGGGCGGCCGGCAGCCTCGAGCACGCGGTCTGGTGGCCGATTGCCTCGGTGACCGGAGGTGCGTCGGGGGGCCCCGGCAGCGGGGCGGCCGGGTCGCAGTCCTTCTCCACCTCGGCCTCCGGGCCCGGGCCGGAGGCCGGCTCCGGGTCCACCGGCAGCGGAGCGGGACCCGGGGCGCCGGAGACAGATTCGGCCCCCTCGTCCGACTCGAAGGCCCATCCGCCGGACTCGACACGGCGGCATGTGCTGCACCTGGACCCGGCGGCCGGGGGCGGGGTCTGCCCGGGGCGGCTGGTCCCGGCGTCGGCGGCCGGTTGCGCGGGCCCGATGGCCGGGAGGCTGGTCCCTCGGCCGGTGGCCGTGCGGCCGCCGTTGGCCGTCGGAGATCCGGCCCCCTCGGCCGGGCCCAGCCATCAGGAGGGCACCTTCAGCCCGGAAACCGGCGGCGTGCTGGCCTGGTCCCCGGAGGACGGGCATCTGTACCACGTATCCCAGGCGGCCGGGTCCGGGGGCGAGGGGCCCGCGGCGGCGGCGGCCATGGCGCAGGTGCGCCTCGGGGCCGGGTCCTGGGGCCCGGACGTGGGCGCCGTGGCCGGGCTGGCGGTGGATTTCGATCCGGCCCGGCAGGGGAACCCCCAAAACAGCTCCTTCCACATTGTCATTTGCGCGGCCACCGGCATGCATCTGGTCCCGGTGAGCTGCCGCTTTGGCGCGTGCGTCTGGGGCCTGGCCAGTCGCACCACGGCCGAGCCCTGCGAGCGGCTGGTGGCCTGCTCCGACCGGGGGGCCTTCTTTTCGGTGCACCGGGTGTCCGGCACGCCGACCTCGACGGCCGTCCGCCGCGGGGTCTTCACCTTCCCGAGTCAGCAGCGGAGCTCGGCCCCGGGCGGGGCCGCCCTGCTGGGGCCGATCCTCGGGTCCGGGCCGGGGACCGGGCCGCTGGCATGCGGGACCTTCGCGGCCCCGGGCAGCGGCCTGGCCCAGACCGACACCTGGGCCGCGTACATGTCCTGGCTGGCGCCGTTCCGCTTTGGCCCGGGCGCCGAGCCGCCGGTCGGCGGCGATGTGGCCACGGTCAGCCCGCCGAGCTTGCGGCTGCTGTCGGAGGCCGATCTCGCGGCCGGCCAGCTGGGGCGCATCGCGGCCTCGCAGCCGCCGCCGCCGGCCGCCGGGCCGCATGCCCTCGCCGCCGCGCGGGACGGCCTGGTGGCCATGGTGATGGGGCGCTTCTCGGACCGGCAGGCGGACGACCTGGTGGTGCTGGCGGCGGTGCGCGGGGTGGCACCGCCCGGCGGCCGGCAGTCCGGCGCGCCGGATTCCGGCTGGCAGCTCCTGGCCACGCATTATCGCAACCGGGCTCGCTACCAGCAAACCACGAACCTGGCCTCGGGCGTGGTGCAGCTGCTGGGCAGCCTGCCAGCGAGCCCGGACTCGTGGCCCCCCCAGGCCGGGCCCTTCCTTCGGGCGCTGGTGGTCGACCTGAATGAGGACGGCCTGCCGGATGTGGTGCTCAGTGCCGGCGACCGGCACATCGGGCTCATCATGTCCCGGGAGATGGACACCCTGCGGGTTGGAGCCACCCCCGGCGGCCTGCGGCAGGCGGTGTGGCTGGAGCTGCCGGCCGGCCCGGGGTCGGAGCCACCGGGCCCGGGGTCGGAGCCGGCCCGGGCCCGGGGGGCCCGGTGTGAGGCCGGTGCCTCGGGCTGCGGGAGCACCGGGCCCCCGGGCCGGGCCGGGGCCCCGGTGATCCTGCGCGTCCATGCCACCCGGGACTCGCACGCCGGCAATGGGTCTTTCAGCCTGGTGGCGGATCTCTTCCGGCCGGGCGGCTCGGCCGGCGATGCCCTGCACCGGGTGTCCCTGGCGGCCGGGTGTCCGGCCGGGGAATTCTGGTCGCCGGGGTCGGGCCCGGCGGCCGGGGGGGAATGCACCGCCTGCCGGGCCGGGTGCTCGGCTTGCCGCGGCCCGGCCGCGGCCGATTGCCTCCGGTGCGATCTCTATCAGGATGGCGAGTGCGTGGCCGCCTGTCGCGGGGACTCCTTCCCGCAGGATGGCGTGTGCATTGGCTGCCCGGCCGGGTGCGAGGAGTGCACCCGGCCGGGTGACAATCCGTCCGGGGCCGTGGTGTGCCCCGCCTGCCGGCGGGGATACTTCCCGGAGGCCGGGTCGTGCCACCCCTGCCCGGACCTGTGCGCCGAGTGCACCGGGCCCGGGGCCTGCGGCGCCTGCCGGCCCGGGGCCCGGGCCTACGAGGGAAGCTGCTGGGCCGAGTGCCCGGCGCGCACCTTCCTCGAGGGCGACCGGTGTGTCGATTGCCCGGGGCTGTGCCTGGAGTGCGCGCCCGGGGGAGGGGCCGCCGGGGGGCCGGGCTCCGGGGGCGGCGTCTGCACGCGCTGCCAGCCGGGGCTGCACCTGGACCCGGCGCTGGGCTGCGTGTCGGCCACGGTGCCCCAGTGCGTGCGATACACCGCGGCCGGGGGCTGCCTCGAGTGTGCCCCGGGGTTCCTGCTGCTCGGGGACCAGCAGTGTGTGGATGGCTGCCCGGTGGGGTACATGGCGGCGGAGGGGCCCTCGCCGGCCGATGGGCCGGCCATGTGCCGGGCATGCGGCGAAGGGTGCACCTCCTGCGGCCCGGGCGCCGGGGCTTCCGGCCGGTTGGTGTGTGACTCCTGCGCATCGGGGCACTATCGGACCCCGGCCGGGGGGTGCGGGCCCTGCCCGGCCGGGTGCCGGGTGTGCGCCGACGGGGGCACCTGCTTGTCCTGCCAGGCCGGGCGCTTCCTCCAGGAGGGCGCCTGCGTGGAAGCCTGCGCCGATGGCCAGTACGCCGAGCAGCAGACATGTCTGGCCTGCGCGCCCGGCTGTGCGGCCTGCCGCGGGATCGACGAGTGCACCGCCTGCCAGGCGGGCTTCGACCTGGAGGGCGGCCATTGCCGGAGCGCGGCCAATGTGTGTGACATTTCGGCCGGCCGGCCGGCGATCGCCAATTGCCAGCTGGAACATTGCGGCACCTGCCTCCAGTGCCGGGCCGCCTACCGGCTGGACGGCGGCCGGTGTGTGGCCTGCCCGGAGGGCCGGTCCTCGGATGGGTTCACCTGTTGCCATGTGAATTGCGCCTCCTGCGTGGGTCCCAACTCGTACCAGTGCAAGAGCTGCCCGGCCGGCGGGGGGGTCCTGCTGCCGACGACCAAGAGCACCGCTCTGGTGGTGGGGTCCTGCGTGCGGCAGTGTCCCACCGGGTATGTTCTGCGCCCGGCGGCCGGGCCGGACCAGCCGGCCAGCTGTGTCAGCTGCCCGGAGAGGTGTTTCCTGTGCGCGGCCCCGGCGGGCCTGCCGGGGGCCTCGCCGAATGCCGGCGAGTCCGGGCCCTGCCTCGGGTGCGAGCGGGGCTACTTCCTGCAGGAGGGCCGGTGCGAGGAGTCCTGCCAGGGCCGGACCTTCGGCTATGGGGGCGCATGTGTGCCCTGTGCGGAGGGGTGCGTCAGTTGCCCGGGCGGCGTGTGCTCCGGCTGCATGCCCGGGCGCGTGCTGCACATGGGCCGGTGCGAGGGGGCCACCTGCCCGGCGGGCTTCTACCCGGAGGCCGGGGTGTGCCGGCTGTGCGGGGCCTCCTGCTCGACATGCTCCTCCGGCACCGGTGGCTGTGACACCTGTGCGGGGAATTTGCTGCTGGTCCCGACGCGTGGCGGGCCCTGCGTCGGGGCCTGCCCGTCGGGGCACTTCCCCAGCACGGCCCCCGGCGGCCGGGCCCGGGTGTGTGGCGAATGCACCGCCGATCGCACCACCCGCACCCGGGCCAACCAGCGCAATCGGTGCATCCCCGGGAGGTTCCTGGCCGTGAGCAGTCTCACCTGCTTGGACGAGTGTCCGCCGAACACGGCCGAGGACTTGCGCGACTTCACCTGCCACGCGTGCCCGGCCGGGTGTCACCGCTGCCGGGTGGACTACCGTGTCGGCGGCGGCACCCTGGCCATGATGGCGGCCGGGCTGGATGCCAGCGACCCCCGGGCCGGGCTGGTGTCGGGGCGGGACTTGCAGCTGGCCCCGCCGCGGGACATCGAATGCGAGGCGTGTGCCTCCGGGTACTTCCTGCATGAGGGGAAGTGCCAGCCATTCTGCCCGGCCGGCTGGACCGGCTCCCGGCCGGCCGCCCAGCATGCTGCTCTTCGGTCGCCGGTGCGGTCGCTGCCATCGTGGCCGCCCACTTCCCCCGATCACCATCACCAGCACCACCACCACCAGCAGCAGCAGCAACAGCAGCAGCAGGAGGAGGAGCAGGAGCAGTCGCAGCAGCAGTCGCAGCAGCAGCAGCAGCGATCACTTACCTCAGGCGGCCTGTGCATGAAATGCCATGTGTCGTGCCTGACATGCGGGGATCGAGACTTCCGATGCACTGGATGCGCCGAGCCGGCCTACCTCTCCGGGGAGTCCTGCGTCCTGCGGTGCCCCTTCCGGACCATGACTAATGCGACCGAGCGGCGGTGCGACGAGTGCCCGGCGAACTGCGAAGCCTGCGGCGAGGAGGGCTGCTCGTCCTGCATCGCAGGGCACCTGCTGATGGACACGCCGGAGGGGGCGCGCTGCGTGGGTGCCTGCCCTTCGGGCAGCTTCGTGCAGGCCGACCGGTGCCTCGGCTGCCATGAGAGCTGCCGGTTCGGGTGCAGTGGTCCCTCGACCGAAGATTGCTTTGCCAAGCCGCATCCCGCGTCCGAGAGACGCTTGGCCCTCAGTACGTGGTCGGGTTTTGCTGCGGCGCCTGTGCCTGATGCCCTGGACCTGGGTGGGTTTTTTTTTTTTCCCGGGGCATGTCCGGTGGTTCTCGGCTTCCGGCGAAACTTTTTCCTCCCCCTCTCTCTCGCTCTCTCTCTGTCTCGCTCTTGCTAACAACGCATGCGGGGCGAATGGACTCTCCGCCCTGGTCGGTGTCGGGCAGTTCTTGGACTGAGCATCGGTCTGGGTGCTTTGATGCTCATCTTACTGGCGGTGGCCATCTGGCTACTGGTGGTCTTTGTCTTCCGGGACCTGCGTGCCCGGAGCAAGGCTGTCCGGGTACGATGCGTCGGCCCTGCACTTGCTCGGCCCTGTGCCAGGCTAGATGCCTGAATCGGCTTTTTTTTCCCGGCTTCACCGCCCACGCCACGGATCAACCGGCTGACTGTCTTCTCTCCCTCGCCTCCAACCCCCCCCCCCCCCCCCCACCCACCCCCCCGAAGGACGGCAATCCGGTTGCAGATGGTGCGTAACCGGCGGCGAGGAGGCCGTCAGCCCGCTGACAATTCTGGCCTCGGCCCAGCCACTCTGACCCCGTGCCCGGAGCACCACACTGACCAAGCGCCCTGGCGGCCGGCCATGCCCACAGCCGCGGAGATGACCGTGCTCAACACATTCATCGAACTTTCGCTTCCTGGCTCGCTGCAGGTCAACATCCTGGAGGATTTCGTCGCCAGCGATGAGTCCCTCGGCCAGGGGGCCCAGGCGACGGTGTACACCGTGCGCATTGTGGCGCCCAAGATCCTGGCCTCGGCCGGGGCCGAGCAGGCCGCCGTCAAGAGAATGAAGGGTATGCCCGATGTCGCCCTTCTCCCCGCCCCCGGGCGGCCCTGGCGGGTGGCCTGCATGTCGCTGTGTTGTCCCGCGCCGCAGGCAGCCAAGCCCCCTCCGCCCCTCCCCCCCCCCTGCTGACATTCACCCGACCCGGGACCCGGTAGCTCCCTCGGCATCGGCCGACGCCAAGTTGTATGCGCGCTTCGAAAATGAGGTTGCCATCATGTGGTACGTTGACCCGTGTGCCATGACGCGACATCTTGCCAAGACGCGCCCTCACACGAAGGTGTGGCCCCCTTGCCGGCGCACCGGCTCGCCCCCCTCCGCCCGCTGGCATCCCTCGCCCCACAGGGCTCTCAACGCCGCCCCGAATGTGGTGCGACTCTATGGCTACTCCACCAACCCGCAGGCCATCGTCATGGAGCTGTTCGACAGCTGCTTGCGGACGTTGCTGCTGTCGGATGTGGAGATCCCTGCCATGGGCATGCTCGATGTGGCCCACCAAATCGGTACGTGCTCGCCGGGCCGAGAAGCGGCATCCCCCCGCCCGCCCCCTAGGGCGTGGGATTTGCCCGGGGGTGGAGTCACCCTCGCCACCTGTTGAGCGCCCCCCCCCCCCCCCCCCCCCCGCCCCCTGCCACAGCCATACTGACATCCCGACATTGATGGCTGCCCTGTCCGGCGTCCAGCCTGCGGCCTGGAGGCCATCCACCTGGCCAATGTGGCCCACTGTGACATCAAAACCGCCAACATCTTCATGCGCATCGGCCCGAAGCCCGGCAAGTGGCAGGCAGCCATCGGCGACTTCGGCACCGCTCGGTCCATCGGCTCGAGCCGGTCCAGTGCCCTTGTCCATGAGCTGCCCCCGCTGAATGCGCTGACCGCTCGGTATGCCAGCCCCGAGGTACGCCACGCTTTTGGGCAGGCACTTGCTCGCCGGCTCGGGCCGGCTCGGCGGCCAATCTGCGAGGCGTGGCCCGGCCCCGCACGCCGCGCGACGGGGCACTTTTGTGCTGCCACCCGCGCGGGGCCCCTTTCACATGCACACATATCCCACAAAGGGGACCCTCCGCCGGGGAAATGCTGACACCCGCTTCCTGATCATCCCGACGTGCTCTGCGCCGACCTTGCCGCCTGGCATGCCCCCCCCCTCTCGCCTCCGGCCCATGTGCACAGCCAGTCTCATGAGCACCCGGCCACC